ATGTGGTGGATTACATTGATCGCTTTTTCTAATATTGAAGCATCCTGCACACCTGGAATGAATCCCACTTGGCCATGGTAAACTATTCTTTTTGATATGCTGCTATATTCCATTGGCCAGGATTTTGTTGAGGATTTTGGCATCTATGTTCCTGAGGGATATTGGTCTATAATTGTCAATTGTGTGCAGTATTTTCCTGGTTTGGGTGTCAGTGTTATACTGGCTTCATAAAATGAGTTTGGGAGGTTGGTTGTGTTCTTCCATGTCTGGAAAGGTTTGTTCAGTATTGGTGTCAGATCTTCTTTGAATATTTGGTAGAATTCCCCTGTGAAACTGTCTGGTCTTGGGCTTTTCTTGGTTGGTAGTTTCTTAATGGCCTTCTACTGTTATGGGTATGTTGAGTTTTAAATATCTGTCTGCAGTAATTTGAGTGGGTGATGGGTTTCTAGGTGTTCCATTGCACAGTTTTTCATAGTGGTGTGTTATTATTCTTTTCAGTTCATTTTGATCTGTTGTAATGTCACCCTTTGCATCTCTTATTCTGAGTATTTGCATCTTTTCTTTTTTTCTGTTTGATAAGTTTGCCAGTTCTATTTTATTAATCTTTTCTAAGAACCAGCTTCTTGTCTTGTTGATTTTTTCCCATTTTGTTTTGTTTTCCATATCATTTATTTCTGCTTTGATCCTTCTGTTTTCTTTCCTTCTTTTATTGGAGGGATTGTATTGCTATTCTTGTTCCAGTTCTTCGAAGTGTTGTATTAGGATGTTAATTTTAGGTTTCTCCTCTTTATTCATGTGTGTGTTGATAGCTATAAATTGGCCTCTGTTTACTGCTTTTGATGAGTCCCAAACGTTTAATATGTTGTGTTATCATTCCTGTTTGTCTCAAGGAATTTTTAAATTTCCCTCTTTGTTTGCTTTATTACCCAGTCATTGAGTATTAGGTTGTTCAATCTCCCTGTATCTGTTTTTAAGTTTCTTGCTTATTTTACTGTTGATTTTCAATTTTATAGCTTTGTGGTCTGAGAAGATTGGTTGCAGAATCTCATTAAAAAAATTTGTTGAGGCATGATTTGCGGCCTAGTATGTGGTCTATTCTTGAGCATGTTCCATGTGTGTTGGAGAAGAATGTATACTGTTGTTATGTTGGATGAAGTGTTCTGTATCTGTCTATTAGGTCATTTGTATTGAGGTTTTTTTTTGTCTTTGTTGAGTTTTTTCTTGACATCTGTCTTTCCTTGAGAGTGGTGTATTAAAGTCTCCTGTTATTATTGTTGATGTGTCTTTAGCCTTTTTCAATTCTGTAAGAATTTAGCTGATGTATTTTGAGCATATTTCATTAGGTGCATATATGTTTATTATAGTATGGGTTCTTGAGCTATTCATCCCTTTATCATTACGTAGTGTTCATTCCTATCTCTTATTATGTTGTTTGTCTTGAAGTCTATCTTCTTGGAGATTAATATTGTTACCCCTGCTCTCTTTTGGTTGCTGTTTGCTTGGCATGCTTTTGTCCAGTCTCTGATTTTTAATCTGTTCATGTCTTTGTTTGTGAGGTGTGTTTCTTGTAGGCAGCATATGAATGGATTTTGTTTTCTTATCTATTCTGCTGTTCTCTGTCTTTACTGGTACATTTAGTTCATTAATATTCAGTGAAATTATTGGTAAGCATGTATTTGTTACTGTCATCTTGCTTTATATGTGTGTGTTGTGTGTTTGAATGTGTATTGTGTTTAGCTCCTTTCTTCTTCCTGCGTCATTTCCTTCCTCTGGGTGTTGTTTTGTGTGTGTTGGTTTTGTGAGGAATTGTCTTGTATGCTGGTTTCAGGTTTGTGTGTTCTTGCTGTTGGTTTTTAGGCCATAGTACTTCATTATTTTTTGTAGCCATAGTACTTCAATATTTTTTGTAGTGGTGGTCGTGCTTTTGTGAATTCTTTTAGTTTCTCCTTGTCTTGGAATACTTTTATTTCTCCATCATATTTGAGTGATCATTTTGCTGGATATAGGATTCTAGGGTGACATTTTGTTTCCACCAGTACTCTGTACCTGTTACTCCATTGTCTTCTTGCCTGCATGGTTTCTGCTGAGAATTCTGAGGTTATTCTAATTGCTGAAACTTTGTATGTAACTGATCGTTTATCTCTGGCTGCTCTTAGAGGTTTTTCCTTGTTGTTGATGTTAGAAATCTTGACTACAATATGCCGGGGAGTTTTCCTTTTGGATCTCTCCTGGCTGGGGTTCTTTCAGTTTCCTGAGTAATTATCTTTTCCTCCTTTAGACATTGAGGAAAGTTCTTTTGCAGGAGCTCTTGGACTGTTCTATGGGTAGTTGTTCCTAATGGAGACATTTGGACTATGTGGGTCAGAGTAAAGGTCTCAACGTATCATGGAAGCTATGGTACATGGACATGTCTTGAGTCACTTCATGCTGTTGTTGTTAGGTGCTGTGGAGGCAGTTCCAACTCATAGAGACCCTATGTATGGTAGTACAAAACACCACCTGGTCTGCGCCTCACAATTGTGTTTGTGCTTGAGCCCATTATTGTCCTGATGTCATCTCACAGCTCATCAGGTGTTCTGATATCAGTGTTGAATGTAGTAAATCTGTTCTTGAGATTTTCTTGAAATTCTCGTGGGATATGCTCAATGTCGTACTTTGGCCCTTGTGGGCTTATTTAGATTTTCTTCAGCTTCAACCTGAACTTACATGTGAGCAACTGATTGCTCCAGTTGGTCCTGACCTGGTTTTAGGTGCTAATAGTGAGCTTCTCTGTGGTCTCTTCCCACAGATGTAGTCAATTTAATTTCTGTGTATTCCATTTGGAGAAGTTCGTGTCTGTAGCCATCTTTTGTGTTGTTGAAAAGAGGTATTTTCTATGAACAAGTCACTGGTCTTGCAAAATTCTATTATGTGATATCCAGCTTTGTTTCTATCACCAAGGTCATATTATTCAACTATTGTTCTTTCCTCTTTGTTTCCAACTTTTGCATTCTAATCATCAATAATTATCAATGCATCTTGATTGCTTGCTTGATAAATTTCAGACTGAAAACACGTAGAATTCTGCAATTTCTTTATCGCTAGCTTTAGAGTTGGTGCATAAATTTGAATAATAGTTGTATTGATTGGATTTCTTTTTATTTGGATAGACATTATTCTATCACAGACAATATTGTACATCAAGATACATCTTGAAATGTTCTTTTTGGCAGTGAATGTAATGCCATTCCTCTGGATTATGTTATTATAATAAACCATATGATTTTCTGACTCAAAATAGCCAGTACCAGTCTTTTTCAGCTCACTAACGCCTAGAATATCGATTTATATGGGTTTCACGTCACCTCTGACAACTTCCAATTTTCCTAGATTCATACTTTACGCATCTCAAGCTCCAATTATTAATGGATGATTGCAGCTTTTCTCTTTCTGAGTTGTGCTTTATCAGCAAATGAAGGCTCCAAAGGATTTACTTCCAAAAGGGCTGTACTCCATTCATGTTATTGTGGTCAATTGTTCTTAGGGAAGGGAGCTCTTCCTCAGTCATATTTTGAGTGTCTTGGTGGGGCTTATCTAGCATTATCTCCGATAATGTCTTGCTTCAGTAACTGACGAATCCTTCACAGCGGATTTCCCTCTGTGGGTATTTCCTCTGAAGTGGACAGCCTATTCCTCTTCATCGCCTGTTCGTAGTCTGGAAACTCTGGTGAAACCTGTTCACTGTTAGATGACCCTGCTTTATTTGAAATACCAGTGACATAGCTTTCAACATCTCAGCAACACCCAAGCCACCCTAGTATGCCAAACTGGCAGGCAAGTGGTGTGAGTTATAACAGAGAAATTTCGTATAGGGATGGATTTTTCCATGCTCTTTCTTTCTAGGATTGTGTGCCAGTTTTTCTGTAACAATTTTATCCAACAAGTACATCCATAGTCAATTTGAGTTGAAGATTATTAATGGGAATTGGTACATTTTACAAACTCCAGAGGTGATTCAAATGGATAACCAAACTTGCGAATCTCTCTTACAGACTATTATCAAATAATTCAATTACTCACTAGTAATGACTACAGCCTCAAGGAGTCCTCCACATTTTGAAGTACAAAGGACAAGGTTAGTTGCTTCGTACTTCAAAAGAGGCCCATGACTTGTCAGATTAATCAAGTAAACTCTGAAAAAGTTGCTCAAATGGAAAAGTTCACACCTACACACCTCATTACTCATCTAAGAATGTATAGTGCCCTGGGCATAAAAGCTATGGGTCTAGTTATAGGATAGTCTAAAATATGGCTCACAGATAATTAGAAGTAGACATTCTTCCACTCCTCATCATGAGATGCTGTTAAATCCCTTCATCTGCTCTTATTTATATAGCTTTTTCCTACAAAATAGGAACACCATCTGCCATAAACTCCACAGAATTACAGTGACAAACAATTAAACATGCCCTTGGGTTATGTGTTAATAGCCAATTAGCTGCAAACAGAACCACACAGGCAGTGGATGCCTGTCCAAGGTCAATGGTGCACAGGGATTCACAAGTCCTCCTTCACCCATCCTCCCTTCTCTTCCAATGACCTGTTTGCCTTTCTCTGTTTCTGTGTCCTCCCTCAGAAATGCACTCTACAGCAGGAGAATTTGTTTTGGCAAGTCCACATGCTGACCCGTGTATGGTTCTGGATGAGTCTTAGGAGCTTTGAAGATTGCAATCGTATAAGGACAAGATGTGTCTCAGTTGTTGACCAGATTTTAAAAGGTAGAACAGAGATTGGTGAATGGAAGAAAAAAGGGCATCTAAGCAACTGGGTCTTTTTTATTGATGTCTTAGATTCAAGCCCTAAAGTTCATAAGATGGCTTTTGAAGCTGGTATTTCTGGCATCTGAGTTCATGTCACTGATGTGTGTGTGTGTGTGTGTGTGTGTGTGTGTGTGTGTGTGTGTGTGTCTGATGAGGGAGATAGTGAATGTCCACTTGATGTCTGCCCTGAAATGTACTCACATAAAGTTGGTCATGGATGTTGGCTCCATGCTTCAGCAGCGTGTCCACCACTTTCATGTGCCCGTACTGACTGGCAGCCAGCAGGGCGGTACCCCCATCCTATCAACATGAGAAGTAGACACAAGTTAGAAAATAGGGAGGTGAACGTCCCCACAGATACTCTGCACCTAGCCCTGTATTTGGAAACAAATTTTCCCATAGATAATGAGCTCATTTTTCTTTTATTCCTTTTTTTTTTGTAGTCATGCTGCAGTTCATCTTTATAACAACAATATGGTGTAAATTTGGGTGGCTTGCTAGAGAAACAACGTTATTAGGATTAATTTAGAATTTCCCATGACAAATGCAAACACACCTATTTGCCTCTCAATAGCAAAATCAAAGAACCAGATGTTTGAACTGTGATCAGTTACATCTTAGAACCACCAGAAGCACATTCGAGGGCTCCTGGTCCGAGACCCTCTTTGGCAAATATGGCTTTCTCCCTGAAGTTAGAAACCCAGCTGAGGAAGTTCTGCCCAGCTATGCCCTGAACTGCAAGCAGAACGATGAGGCGGAGAAGCTGGGCTCTGAAGTGTGGGGAATTGAGAAAAGATAAACCAAAGCCTGAGACTGATGGGCGCAAGGATTGGACATCCAGAAACAGCTGAAATGAGGGCACTTTTATGAAGTAATGCTCTGGGCCATGGCTCTGCTGGGTAAGAGTTGCATCCTCAGGAAGCATGGCTAAACACAGCTCGTTTCATGTGCCTCTCGCCATCCTACTTAGCATTTGCCTCTGAACATGTGCCAGTTTGTCTGAGCCTCTTTTAAAGTGTGGGCCTAAAACTAAAGTTGAGCTATAAACACAGCCTGTAAAACAGATGTGGTCTGTGGTCTTTACGTTGTTGCATTTAGCCTACTTTCATGTGGTCTCAGTCAGATTAGCTTTTATGTCAACCACATCACACAACTGAGTGATGGAGTTTGTGGTCAACTACAATCCTTAATGGTTTCCTCAGGTGCTGCAGCGGAGGCGCTATTATTGCCCATCTAGAGTGGTTGAGTTGTTGCCTTGGGGTAGTGCATTTGTATGTGGACATCTGAACTAATTATAAATAATGGAAGGACACGTAATCCAGTCCTGATATACATCGCATGAGAAAGCTTCAAAAAAGTTCATGGAAAAATGTACTATCTTTTAATTCCATGAGTTTTTTGAAGTCCCCCCTCGTAAATATAAAGTTGTATGGTTTTTAAATCTTGGCAAAGGTGTTTTGGTGTTTGTTCAGGATTCAAGCTCCTTGGGTCCAACCCCCAGAGGATCTAATTATGTAAGTCTGAGGTGAGGTCCAAAGGAACCTTGACCGGTCATCAGGGCACAAGTGTATGTGTAGGTACAAGTGGGCTTTGCATGGAGAAGCGTTTGTGTTCACAAGAAGACGGCTGGGTGAGGGTCGAGCTATGTGGTGGAAAAGGTGGACTTTGAAGTATGGGCAATGGAGAGAAAAAAGGCCAAAGGCTGCTGGGAGCGGGGACTGGGCATCAGGAAATTGCCTTCCAGTCTCAATGCACATTTTCCAGGTCACTGCCTGATAAGGCCATAGAACAAATAAACGTGATAGAAGAGCTGATGCCTTTCATTTATCCACACACATTTTGGGGGGATACGGATTGAATAGCAGTGCGAAGAATTGCTTAAACAAAGTGAATTTTGATGACAAGGTCCGATTAAAATTCAAAGACTCTTGACACACTCTTTTCCCATGGAAAACTCTTAGACACCTGCAGCTTACCGAATGGAAACATGTGGAACTCCCCATCCCGGCCTCACGTTACCTGGATTTCTGGGACAGCACAAATAGGCTAATGTACAAAGGCTTTGAGCCAGCAGTAACTTGCTAACCAAGAAGATTTCAGCAGCAATTTGGGTTACACACAATCATTTTTCTTTTGTTGAAAGCGGTAACACTTAGGTCTTGCAACTTTACTTTATATTTTTTTTGTATCACGTTTAGAGTAAAACACAGAATAATAATTAGGGTGAGATATATATACACATATGCTTTGTATCTGATGTGTAATATAGGAAGTGTGTCTGGAGATATGCACACAGTCCAACAGCAAGCTTCAGCAAAGACAAAAATCCTTCCGATCAACTTAATAGTAAAGCTTGTAGTAGGAAAACAAACCAAACCCCAAACCTCCCTTGATAGCTAAAACTATCACATGCTAATGGATTCAGAAAAGGTTCAGGAACTTAAAAATTGTGATTCGGTAAAACGTAAGCTGGTAAGTACAAAAATTCTCCAACTACACAGACATCAGATAAAATCATCTGGGGACACAAAAACTGATCTTTCTGCAGTCTCAGATCCTTGACCCATATATCAAAAATGAAAACAGAAATCAACGATTTCTATAAAGGAAGAGCCACAATGCCTTGCTCAAGGATGCACCTTGTCATTATATTGCAGAGCTCCATGAAGATGGCTCATGAAAGCAGCCTATGTGTCAAACCTCTTAGAAATCTCACAGATTCACGAGGAAAACCAACATGCTTTCCACAATTCCTATCATTAAAAAAAAGCCTACGAACACAGGGAAACTTATAAAAACACTTGTGACTGTACCCACCCTGGTTACAAAATGCAGGAAGCCACCAGTAGAAGACTCAAACTGATTCCCCACTGAGTTAGTTAATTGTGCCAGCCTGGCCGATAATCACATGTGGTGCTGGTTGAAAGGCG